GCCGAGTGCGAGAGAGAAAAAAAACTACTAGTAATTTCAACTGTAAGATTATTAGACATAAATTGATTAAGTGTAGGTACTAAAGAGGAAGAATTACCCTGAAAATATTTACAGAAAAAACACAAGAAAGCTACGTTAGGGCGGTGAAAAAGTGACTGCAGCTAAGATGTCAGTTCAGGTCCAAAAGTATTGCAGATTCTTCATTGTATCTTATCAAGAATCTCTAAATGTCTAGAAGACCTGATGTGATAACCACATTCAATGCATGTAAGAATGGTACGCTTATAAACGTGTAAGACCGATTTTGACGAGAAAAATTGTCTAACACTATACAGTGAACCATCTAAAATCACTTTTCGAAATGTGGCTAATATTTGTGAACATTGAATGGATCCAAATATAGCAAAAACATATTTGTCTTCAGTTTTAAAGGTTTAACCATAGTCTTTTATTACGAATGCTTGTTTCAGAATCACTTTCAAGGATTTGACGTGCCATTCCACGATACTGTAGCCTTCATTCTCTAACAAATAATCATATGATTCAAGATTAAATTGGTGAAATCAATAATAACCTTGGAAAGAATGAATACATATTTCTCCCAAATGACTTCACAAAAAATCACGATCACAAATGAATAAAATTTATGAAGGAATCATTAGATTAACAGTAAGTGCTACCCATTAACCATCGTTCTTTCAATTCTTATTATTAATGGACACCATCTTAACGCGAACGCACTCACGCTTGTACATATACAGTGATTTAATGTATATATTCATGGTGTGTTTATTTAGTAGTTTCTATAGGTTAAAGTGTATATAAATCATGATAAAATAACAGGTGCCATATATTTCATTCTTACATGGGATATGCATAAAACATAATTCTTTATATTTCTCATCATTATGAAACCGAAGATTTCGTAGAATCAAAGAAATATAAAAACAGCGATAGATATTAATCCTTAAAGTATGTATTGACGTGGGATACACTCAGAAAACAGGACGTCTTGAAATAATATAATATAAAAGTCTCAAGCTCTAATATTCCATGGTTATATTTTATTACAATGGAATCGTAATCACGATCAAATTCATCATACCTACAAATTCAAAAAGAAATCGGAAAATATAACTCCAGGTATACTTTCCAATTTCTTTTGAATTTGTAGGTCTGATTAGATCGTGTTTACGATTCCAAAGTAATAAATTATAACCATGGAATATTAGGTTTGAGCTTTTATACTATATTCTTACTTTGTCCTGGACATTCAGTTCTATCTGGATTCTATCCTATTGAAATTTTTATATATATATATATATATATATATATATATATATATATATATATATATATATTTATTTAAAGAAACTAATTTCCTTATGTTTTCCGATGTTTAACCATTGTCTCATTGTCTTTTGTGTGTAGTAATTTTGAAATGCCCGTTTATAGGAGTGACTTAATAACGCCTTTGAACAATACTCGGTGGGATGCCGCTAATTCCCATATGTTGATTTTTCCTTTACACGTCACCTGATCTAGTTTTTTCCAGATGAGTTCGACTGGGATTGCTCTCTGGCGATCCGTGTACAAAACCAAGTGTCGGAAGCGACACTTTATTCCCATATGATAAGTAGTAGTCCAAATTTTCTTGGACTTATGGAGAATATATTATTCTGCTTAAGTGTTAATAAAACAATTATGAATTTGACCTTTCTCTGAACAATCTTAACAGCAGCGGAGGTTTTGAGGCTTTCCGTCTTTTACCATCAGCGCCCTATGTGCGTAAAAGTTATAAGAATTTAGAAGTAATAAAATTATTTTATTCTTATTTGACACCTTAATTTGACTTAATCTTACTTTGTATAAGCAATCGATTTCTGTAGTTTGTTTGCATTTATTTTGCGCGCAATTTTTCTTTTAAAATCCCCATTCTTTATGATTCCTTCACATAAAGTCACTCTTAAAAGACATTAGTAAAACAGGACTTTGTAATGTTTCGAATACACCACAGTACGCGTACTAGAAAAAAATGAACAATCGTGACGCGCTTAAATTTTAATTACTGTTTAATTAGACGATGTCAATTGCAATTGCGACGGAAAGCGAAATTAAAGTTAAAACTTTAATAAAGAAATTTTTAAAACCTTTCACTCTGTTCGATATTTAAATTTAACTTTAAATTATTTATTTATTTAATATTTAATCGCGTGTAACTACAATAGTTACTACTTCGAATTGTTTATGATTAACCGAGATCAAAAAACGAACGGACGGACGGACGGTCACACGTACACTACATAATTATGATTTTTAAAAATATTCTTGTGTGCCCAATACTTGTGTGTGGGCCTCACTACATATATATATATGTGTGTGTTTATATATATACACATACACATGCACACACACATATATATATATATATATATATATATATATATATATATATATATATATATAAGTAACAAACACTTAGAGGCGAGAGTCAGTTTCATGTTAGATGTAATCGTCGGCCGAGAAAAATAACATCACTCGTGGCCTGACGATTGGATCTAGCATGAAACAGACTGTCGCCTCTAAGTGTTTACTTCTATGTTCACTTTTATATTTACACACGCTCTATCTCTGATATTGAGTGCTATATCCCACAAATATAGCACATCCTAAGACTATATATATATATATATATATATATGTGTGTGTGTGTGTGTGTGTGTGTGTGTGTGTGTCTGTGTGTGCCTGTATGCGTGCGTGCGTCCATGTGTCTATGTATGTGTATGTGTGTACGCAGTGTTTTAAAATTGTATACATCCTTAAAAGCTGCTACTGATTTCTCATTTCTACTCATATTTTGCCCAATCCTAATGTGGTAATGTCAGTTTCAAAATACAGTTTCAGGGCAAATGTAGTTCCACTTACACGATTTATGATCCCGTTAAGTAGAAATACATTTGAAGCAGATGATACGATTCAAATCTCTACAAAATAATATTCCAAGAGAAAGAGGATAAGCAAATTTACTATTAATGTATCACTGGAGTTCAAGAAGAAAATTGGGTTAAGGGAGGTCTGAAGTGCAATTTCTTAAAATGAAATATCCACCGTATTCAAGTCGGCAAGATCGTGATATAAGTTATTTTGTCAAACAGTTGCATTAGACTAAGATGTTCAACAGAGTACCTTCAGCGTTCACCGGATGTCATATCATTAGACTTTTTATAGATCTGACAGGTGATATGTCCACTAAGGTGCAAGGGCCTACTGCTAGTGAAGACGATAAAAAAAACTTCAAAAAGAACCAGAAACCCAATTCTAAATAAGGAAAACATTACTCCTGTTCAAAATACATGGGAAGTGTATGGAGCCGATGATAAGCGAACGTATCTACTCCGTTGAAAAATATTTTTTATACAACAAACCAGCAAAAGTCGAAGTATTTAGGGGAGTCACTTAACGAGAATATGAACAAATAGAGAAAGAAATGTTTCTTTCGAGTCCATTCTTTTGTGTTAACAGTAGTATCTGGAGTATCGGAGAAATAAATGAAATCTTATCTTCAGGTCACATTCAATTTGGCAACGATGTGTCTTTTACTAATTATTGATTTATAATCATTCAACTTACCTTTACATGTGTCCCCATACAGAACAGGGTTACAGAATATTTATTTATGCTATATTTTTCTCAATATTAGGTAAAGCTTAAAAGTGCATTTGAGATTGAATCATGTCTTTATTGCTTGTACATTCAGTCGAATTTACAAGCCTTAAGAAATATATAATGCTAAGGAAATGGTTTCCGTGTGAACTGATGAAAAGGAACGTCAGGAAATATTTCAACTCTTACGTTTCACTTCTTTCTCAACACAGAAAATTGTCATTTTAAGGCAAGAAACGTCCATTTATTATAAGTTTTCAAAATGAAAAAAAAATGTAGCTATGCCGAGGTTACAATTTAATATCGCAAACTAAATAGTATCTAGTGGTGGTAAGTTATTCTTCTCAGAGTTTGGTTTAATTAAAAAGGATACTTTTCCTTGACAATTGCTGACATCTAGATGAATTCAGCTGTGTAAATTTTCAGTGTTTAATTGGATTAAACCATTGAAATATTGGGTTGATACACTATTTTTTTCATTGGTGAACACGTTGGTCATTGGTTTTTCTAAATATCTAGATTTAAATTCCTACATGCGATGCTGAAGATGATCATAAACCTAGAGTGGAATGATTTATATGCAAAACGGTTCTCCAGGCCTGTCTTTATTTTTTTTTTTTTTTTAAATTGTTTGATTTTTTCTCTGTCTAGTCAAACTTTTGAAGAAAATGGTTTGGTTTCTTTTCTTTTACAACATATCAAGCTCAATGGGTTATTTAATGCCGACAAAATTTGTATTGCTGGTAATTTTAATTTCAACAGGTATAGCTGGTAACATTTCTTTCGAAATCTATTGCTGGCAATAATTTTTACAAAGTAATTCAGGTATTAAACATATTTCTACAATTCCATAGTGTTTTGACCCCATAGATGATACCCTAACATGTGCTTGGGTCTGGGTAGACTTGGGTACACCAATTAACATTTGGTTTCATGCTCCTCAGAACCTCTTGATCAGAGTCCTTGCTGTTGTATATAGATTATCGTCATACTCAGGACGGATAGAAAATGGAATTTTTGTTTTGCTTTATTTTAAATATTTCTTTAATGATGGAATATAAAATGTATCTGTAACTCATAATATTTAGTTATATATTAAATATTAAATGATTTACGAGCAACATTATAAATTTTCATGAATAAAAGATTTTTGTTAAAACAGGCTGGAAACATTTGCATATAGCTAAAGATATTTCCATTTGTTTTTTCTTTCCTAAAAGTTATATAGGAAATTCACAATGAAGCTTAAATCTATGAAATTACATCATTGTATTGGTTTATTTTGAATCTCTGTCCTTATGCATGATAATCTTGTTTCTTTAGTCAATTCCATGCAA